CCCGCCAAGGGTTCGGATCCCATATAGAGACCGGTCCGCTCACTGGTTGAGCGCGGTGCGGTCGCGACACCAAGGGTTGCGATCCCGTTGCCGGTCGCGGTACGGGCATGACACTGAGGGTTGCGATCCCATTACCGGTCACGAAAAAAGACAAAAAGGAAAAAAAAAAAAAGAAAATACATGATTTGTCAAATCCAGTATTTAACTGTCCCGTCACATCTACATATAAAATGGTTCTCTGGATGGCAGAAGACGCTCAGGCTCTGAAATCTTCTTGCCGCATGGTCCCTGCAAACTCACCCTCTCCAGGGGCTCATGTGGGCAGCAGGGTCTTGCACAACACTTCAATTTGGCACCCAGCTGTTACACCAGACCCTCCCACGGCCAGTGTGCCTCATTGCCCTGGGCCCCGCCCTGGCCGTGACAAATGTCCCTGCTGCGTGGATCCCAGAGCACTCCTCCGAGGACATGGGACTTGTCTCCACCAGCCTGACGATGTCACGGCCGCAGCCTCAGGGGTGAGAGTTCCAATGAGGGAGCACCCTCTCTCCTTTACAATCAAATGGAAGAACATGCTAGAAACATTCCAGGCAGGCTGAGACCTGGGCCTCACTACATGACACTGACTTTGGAAAAATCGAGGCACTTTGCCAACCCTTCATGCCACTGCTTAAAAAGCTCAAAACAGGAACTCTTTTCCTCTGAAACATCTTCAGGAGTCTCTAGGCTCCCTAGAAATGCAATCGGTTGGAAGATAAAAGGCCCCCCTAGAACGGGGAGGAGGGGCTGGGTGGCCCTGAAGGAACCTCAGGAGCTTCTGCCAAGAAAACGAATTTCCCTCCAGGGCTCCCAACAGTATCTTCTGCCCTGGGCTTCTTTTTTTTTTTTTGTCCTTTTTGAGACCGGCTGCACCACGCTCAGCCAGTGAACGCTGTGAGCGCACTGATCATCCCTATATAGGATCCGAACCCGCAGCGGGAGCGCTGCTGCGCTCCCAGCGCCGCACTCTCCCGAGTGTGCCACGGGCTCGGCCCCCTGGGCGAGAATCGAGAAGAAAGCTTTCACTGCTCTGGCAGATTGGCAAGCGCGTCAGCATTTGGAGCTTCCTGCGATCTCGAAGCTTCAGAGAGGTGTGCGAGGAGACGCTCCACCTGGTGCACTGTCGCAGGTTCTCCAGCACTGCGGGAGGCTCGGCGTGACCAGGCCCGCGTGGGCAGCTGGCCCCGGCTGCGGTCATTGTACTGCCTACACCACCAAGCCCCACTTACACCAGCTGTGGCTTCTCCTGTGCCCACAGGACCCCACCTGGGCACAGCCGCTGCCTCGCCCAAAGCAGCCCACCCTCCTCTCCTACCAACTTCCCCCAGCTGTCTGGGTACAGAGAGCAGATGGGTGGGGGGTTGCTGGGCTCACCCCCAACACCGGGCTCTTAAGGGCTAGGTTCCAATAAAATGTCACATTTTGGGGGCCGGCCCGGTGGCGCACTGGATAAGTGCGCCGTTGGGAAGCGCGGCGGCGCTCCCGCCCGAGGGTTCGGATCCCACATACAGACCGGTTCCCGCTCACTGGCTGAGCGAGGCGCGGGAGCAACACCGAGGGTTGCAATCCTGTTGCCGGTCCCCGGTCCGGTATGGGGGCAACACTGAGGGTTGCGATCCGTTGCCGGACACGGAAAAAGACAAAAAAAAAAAAAAAAATGTCACATTTTGGAGGAGCCTAATTGACTTGTCTGGGGATTTCATCTCTACAGGTGAACATGGTTAAACATCTTCCTGGACTAGTTTGATCGTTTCGTGTTTTTGTTGTGATTTTCTTTTTGCTGTCATTAGCTGCTGGCTTTGGAATCCATCCCCTTCTCCCTCCCGGGCTGTTTTGGCCACAAGACCAGGGATATAGGGCATGACTTAGGTACATAGTCTCCTGGCCACGTGAAATCTGAAACCTGCTGCCCGTTAAGTGATGACATGTTGAGAACTGACCCCTTCATTCACGCTGTCCTGACCCCCATGCCCATGTCCTTGGCTGTGTCTCCCAGCAAGAAGGCCTGAGCAGGAGGGTCAACAACTCGTGGAACCCGGTGGCCCAGCAAGCCACGAGGCCCACACACTGGGCATTTGGGTTTAACTTCTAAGCAAAATTGGGTTCTGTCCCCCTTACTTAAAAATATATATATATTCAGTTTTAAAGGCGTTCGTTTTGAAAACCTACAACCCACCACCCAGAAAGTGTTTGTGTGGCCACTTAAACGGTAAATGGTGCAGGGACCCCCACCCTGCCTTGGTAAGGCAGGCCATCTCTGGGCCTCGGGTGCTGGACACCACCAGCTCCTGGTGTCAGGGCAGTCCAGGTTTAGAGCTCCCTGCCCTCCTCCTGTGGGTGTGCTGGCCCCAGATGGTGGAAAGCAGGTAGGCCCCCAAACCTGTGACAGCAGGAGCCACCTGACAATCGCATGGTCAGTGCACTCTGCCGGCTTTCAACATGTGAAATATGACTTTAAAAGGCCAAAGCTGAGCTTGGACACCCTCTTTGCCTTCTACACACGGATGTGGTTTCCAAACAGGGCTGGGGTGGTGGGGCCTGGGCAGCCCAAGGGTGGACACTCACCCAGGGGTGAACTCCTTCTGGCACATGGGGCAGCTCTGCAGGGCTGGTGCCCCCTCCTCAGAAGGCTGCTCCTTGGCACTGGGGGTCCCGCAGGGATCCAGCATGGGGAGTCCTTCCGGGGACCAGGCAGGGGACCCCGGGCACCCCTTGGCCCTGCAGAGTAGCCGGTAAGAGCTTCCCAGGGTGCCTGGGGCCGGTGGAAAAGGCGTCCAGGAAAAGGTCTTGGATCCAACGGTGAAGACCTCAGGGGGCGCCACCGGCTCCTGGCCTCGTCCCGGCTCCTGCGAAGCAGGGGGTGGTAGGGTGGTGCCCAGCAACACCCCGCTCCTGCCCGGCCTGAAGACCCACCCAGGCCACCCCAGGGGCCCCAGAGGACGCACCTGGTCAGGGAAGGCGGGCAGCGGCTCGTCGTCCAAGGTCAGATCAGCACCCACCAAGCGCAGCAGCGCGGCCCACGGGTGCTCACACTCGCCGCCGCCCTCCTGGAGGAACCAGGGCCGGCCGGCGCCGGGGGACCTGGGGCGGCGTGGAGGGGACGAGAGGGGGCGGATGTCAGTGGGTCGGGAGCGCGCTCGGGGTCGTATAACTTCGTATAATGTATGCTATACGAAGTTATTACGAAAATAGATTTCTGGATGTCACTCGGTTTTCACGGCATGCCCGTCCCGTCCCCAGGCCAGCCACTCGGCCGCCGTGGACCAGGTGCCAGGCGCGGCGGCACCAGGCCCAGCCGCTCCAAATCCGGCGCTGAGTAGCACTGGAAAGAAAATGACCTAAAAGATGTGCTCCTGCCCCAATCCGCCTGGTGCCCCAGGCCTCCGAGGACAAGTTCGACTGTTACAAGTGCCACTGGCAGGAAGGCAGCATGTGTGGCTATGGCATCTGTGAGTAAGTGACCCCAGGCTGGTGGGGGGTGGGCTCATGGGGTGGGCATGCCCTCTGGGCCCAGCTCTGTGAGGCAGGGCCAGCCATTTGTGACCCTCTCCAGGCACGGCATGGACGAAGTGTATAAGGGCTACTTCCAGGCGGGCCTGCGGCATGGATTTGGGGTCCTTGAGAGTGCCCCGCAGGCCTCCCAGCCCTTCAGGTACACAGGCCACTGGGAGAGGGGCCAAAGGAGCGGCTATGGCATCGAGGAGGATGGTGACAGGTGAGCACTCTGCGGCCACCACCCCTGGTAACCGGGGGGGGAGGCCAAATTGTCTCAGGGTACAGGCTCCCTGGTGTTTGTCCCGCACAGAGTCTCCCTTAAGGGCTCAGCCTCGGCCGCGGCCCCCGCGCCGCCTGCATCCGCCCGCGCGCGTCCGGCGGAAGTGGGGCCCCGACCCCGCCCGCCACCGCGGCGCCAGAACCCCGCCCACAGGGGGACCCGCCTCCCGCTTCGGGGACACCGTGTCAGGTGTCCTGACTCCGGCCCTTGGGGAAACCGAGGCCGGGGTTTCTTCCTCCTACGCAGAGGTGGACGCGGGTGGGGGAGCCGCATCTTCCAGCTGAGGGGGAGGGCGGTGGGACAGGCCCGAGCCCGCGGTGTCGCCTCGTTAGTCCCCGGTGTAGGGCTCACCCGGCCCTGCTGCCCCCCGCTGCGCTGCACAGCCCCGTGCCTCAGTTTCCAGCTCTGTGGACGGGGCTGTCCTTCCCAGGAGGACCCCACGAGCAGGCAAAGCACCTGAAGCACTTAGGGTCGCCTTTGCCACCACATTTCCCTGCACAGTTCCCTTAAATAAGAAAGAAAGTAAAGCGACAGAGTGGACGTGATTAACCAGGGGACAGTACCTCGGGGGCTGGGAAGCGGCTTCCCCGAAATCCCGTGTCCTGCCTGGGCCCCCAGCGCTCTGCCAAGCCACTTCACAGTCCACCGCTTGGTGGCAGCAGATGTCCAGGCACCCTCCTGCAGCTCTGGGCTGTGTCCAGTTCCCCAGGGCCCACCACCCCCACGCCCCTGCAGGCACGCTTGGTCCCTGGGGTGACCTCCACCTTCACTGGGACTGGGGTCTGCAGGGCACGGGTGGTAGCCAGCTCCTCTCCACGCGCCCCCTCCCCTCCCTTGCCCCAGCAGCTCCTGCATGACACCCCCCAACCGTGGNGCTCCTCTCCACGCGCCCCCTCCCCTCCCTTGCCCCAGCAGCTCCTGCATGACACCCCCCAACCGTGGCCCCGTCCCCCCGCCCCCCCACCAAGCCCTGGGTCACGCAGGCGCGTTCTTTCCAGCACTCTAGCATGGGCCAGACCCTGAGCCAAGGCCACTTGAGTGGCCCGCCATCCTACAAGGGGCCCCGGCCTGGAGGTGGGAGGTCGGTGTCCAGGGTGGGGGGCAGGGCAGGGTGTGGACTGAGGGGGTCGTTTGTCCCCCAGAGACCTCAAGAGTGTGAGCAGGTTTAGTCACCAAACATTGCCTGAGTGCCTATCTGTGCCGTGGAGACCCCAGAGCCCACCCAAGTAAGCTCCACCAAGTAAGTGCTGCCCAGGCGGATCAGAATGGGCTGCTGTGGCCAACGTGGCCTGGGGGGACCTAGAGGAGGCAACCTGAGACTGGGCCTGCTCCGAGGTGAGGGAAGTCCAGGTGGGGGTCTCCAAGTCCCTGAAGTGTCAGCCCCGTGTCCAGCACATTGCAGGTGCTACCTGACCAAGGACTCCCCAAAGGCCTCTGTCTGGGGTTTCCTACACAACCCCAGCTGGCCCTGGCTTCGGCCTTGAAGGTTCAGGGCCTCTCCTGGGAATGTCACCATGCTTCTGCAAGGTGGCCTTGGGACTTCCGAGAGCACTGGCACCCATCTTCCAAGGCAGGAAGAAGGCTCGCAAGGACTGGACTGTTTGCTCAGCTCCCAGGGCCGTGCTGGGGAGCTGTGTCCTTGCCCCTTGTTCTCCTTTTCCCTCTCTGCTGCCCCCCACCCACTTTCCTGTCCCCCACATGGCCTCATGATCCTGGCCCAGCCCAGCAGGCCACAAGATGCAACGCCAGCCTGCCATGGACTGGCCTCTGGAGATGGGCTCCAAGTCCCTGGCCCTGCTCTTGTGCTGTGCTGTGTCTCCCCGGCAGGGCTTGGCAGCCCCTGGAGGAGAGACGGACGGTGCCCAACAGGAACGTAGGAGGGACACCTGTGTGTGCAGCTGCTGCTCCTGAACAGGGGCTTTTCTGGATGGGAGGACCCAACCCCTTCCCTGCACTGGGAACGCGAACACAGGAGCTTTCCTGGAGTCTTCAGCATCCTGGCCCTTCCCACCCCCCACCCCCCACCCCCCACACAAGTGTCCCAGCCACTTAGCCCAAGAGGGGCAGAGCGAGGTGGGAGCAGGGAGGAGTCTCAAGTGGCCAGGACCCAGGACGACCAGGCTGACCCGAAGGCTGACCCAGAAAGGCTGAGGGCTCCTTAGGGAGCTCTCACCACAGGTGCCCGAGGCCAGGGAGGCGGGGCATGGAGGGTGGGGCACCCCACTCTCCTTGAGCCTTAGCCACCCCAGTGTGCCTCATTTACTCTCGGCCACCAGGGGAGAGGGGCCCAGACCCCAGGCCAGGCCTACACCAGCCAGCAGAACAGAAGGCCTGTGGGCCTGTGCTCTGGAGACACAGAGCCATCAAATGTGTGAAAGTCATCCTGGGGGCTTCTCTCTGGTTTCACCTGCTGCTCAGGATTAATCCCCCTCCCTCCCCCATCACCACTGGAGAGGGTGGGTGTGGGGGCCCCCTGTAACCCACAGCCTGGGACACTAACACCAAGAATGGCGCTGGGGTGGCCCCTGCTCCAGGCACAAGGCAGGTGCCCACGCTTGTCAGGGAGCCTCCGCCCAAGCTCCTCCTGCGGGTGATTTCCCTGATGGCTGCCCGCCTGGGGTCTGCATGGGACTGTCCACTCTGAGCCCCCCAGGAAGGGGACATGGGAACGCATGCACCTCCAACAAATCCACCGCGTCCCAGGTGTGCTGTGTTATCAGCAAGACACGGTCACGGTCACGGTGGTGGAGGTTTAAAAGTTGAACTTGCTGAAAGGCCTTACTCTTTCCAAACCATCTGCTGAGGTGACAGAGCATTTAGCTTTATTGGAAAATAATTTCTGGTTGGGACGGATGCTTGCATTGCGGAAACCAGTTTTTTATGAGCCAAAATTGATGTTTACAAAAGAATATTTCAGCCTTTTGGAGGAGGCACACCTCGGGCGATGGTGAAAGTGCTCAGGTGGCCGGGGTGTCAGAGCCCCTGCACCTGCAGGCTGGCCCAGCTGCGAGGCCACCTTACTGTCCTCGGTTTTGTCCACCATTAGATGTTTGTGGGTGACAAATCAGACCTGCCCCTCCCCCCAAGGACCCAGTTGCAGAAATGACGTGAGGTCTGCCAGCCAGCAGGCTGGGGTCCATCGTCTCCCATACCTTCCACTGCCAGGGAACAACCGTCTCAGCAAACGCGTCCTTGGAGCGGTGTGAGTGGGTCCTCACTGCCACAGGGGCACGGTTTGTCTCTGTCAGCGCTGATCCCCTGGGGTCCCTGCGGGGGTCCTGATTGGCCTCCATACAGGGCAAGGGATGGTCAGTCACCGGTCTGGCAAAACCTGTCAGCCAGCCCCCAGCCCAGAGCCATCGGGAGTGCCAAGCCCCCCATGGGTTCCCCACGTCCTCCTTTGGTTTCCCGGGGCGTGGTTCTGCCATTGGGCCACCCTGCAAATTGGGTCAGGAAAGCAGCGTGGCCCTAAGGCTGGCAGCTCAGACTTCCGGCTTCCACGTGTACCCATGGTGGGCAGGCATGCTCGCGACACTGGGCTGCTGCCACCGTCACCGTGTGGCAGAACGGCACAGCATCCACGCGGGGTGCCCTGGTGGTTCCCGCTTGCTGGGCACGGCCGGCCTCCACCAGAGCGGCTCCTGACGTAGCTGGACCACGGGCTGTGCGCAGCCACACCTGCCACCTGCGTGTGCCAAGCGGAGAGGCTGCCTGGAGCCAGGTGCGGCGGCATTTACAGGGTGTGGGAGTGCCAGGCAGATGAATTGTATCGAGACAGTTGCCTGGGAGACCACAGCATCCCCCAGGCATCAGAGCGGGCACACGGGGGCGGGAGTGAGGGCACACCACGGCATCCCTGGGCACCCAAAGCCTCCTCGTGGCCTGGGGGCTGTCATGGCCCAGACCTGCCAGTGGTCAGCAGGCTAGAGTTAGCAGCGGGGCACAGCCTCCAGCCCCCAACTCCAAGAGCCCGGAAGCAAAGAGACAGCCGGAGAGGGTGACTGGCCTGGTAGAGACAGTGGACCCATTTCCAAGCCCCCGTCCCAGCCACAGCCTCCCTCCTGGACATGTCCCCAATGCGACCACCTCTCTCAGTGGTCCTCACATAGTCCGGGAGTTCCACCGCTCCTGCTCAGACCCTCCCATGCCCAGTCTCCATCCCAGTGTCTCCAGCTCAGGACCTCTGTCCTTGTAGCTCCCCCCCGCACCGAGTGGCAGGCTCTGACCCTCGGCCCTGCTCTGATGTCCCCTCCCAGCCTCTCTCTCCACCCACTGACCTGCTGGGTTCTCCTGCAGCATGCGTGGGACCTGCAGGGCTTGGATGTTGGTTTACCTTCCCAGGAGGGCAGTTCCCAGAGCCACATGGGGCTCCTGGCACAGAGAAGCCAGTGGCCAGTCCTCGGGGTGAGCAGGCAGGGGAGGACGTGGAGACTGCTCAGGGTGCCTCT